GCGAGAGTTAGATTGACTGTCCAAACGCAAGTCTCTCTTGTGTTCGTAGATGAGAGATTTTAGATCACGTGATGTCTTTTCCATATAAATATTTTTGCATTGTAAACAGTTTATTTGAAAAATCCTGACATTTGAATTAGTGTTGGGTTTATTTTTCTTTCTAATTATATCTCCAATTGTCTTGGAGGTGGTGGTAAAGAGCCTAGTATTAAGGATGTCTGATTTGTTTGTGACTTTAATAGAAAGAGAGTTGGAAGGCAAATTTGTTAGAAGTGTCATTGTTTTTTGACTTCGTGGATATTGTAAGCTCCGTTTCTTTTTTTTGCATATCCTAAGAGCTCCAAGACAAAACTTTATGACTTCCCAGATTTTATTTTTGGTTGTGGAGGGAATAGAAGGTATTAAGTTCATTTTTGTTTGGGGTTTGCGATATACATTAAAATCTAATTTCTTGTGTATTAGTAGCTTGACAAAGAAACGTAGATAATTGTTCATATCAATTTCGTGTATGGATTCATTGGTAGGTTCAACGTTATTGAATTTCATTATTATGTCTAATAGTTCTGTATCTTGGGGATATATATATATATATATATATATATATATATATATATATATATATATATATATATATAACGACCTCTTTACTTTATCCCCAAGATACAGAATTATCATATATCATATATATATCATTATCATCAATATATATAATTATCATCAATATATATATATATATATCATTATATATCATTATCTCCCGCGAGCCAATGGAATCTTCCTGCCTATTCGTGGCAGCCAGCTATAGGCTCTCACTCTGGACAGTAGAAAATGGCCACAAACTACATGAAAACTGCCGCGAAAAACCGATTATATCCACTATCGATGGGAGTTGGGAAATGCAAGGTCGGTCTTGGCCTTCTCGATAACTTGGTGCATGTGCATGTTAATTTTTGGTGTAAATCCGTCGAAAATTGTGGCCGTGCATTCATTACACACACACACATCCTGCCTCTTATATATATATATATATATATATATATATATATATATATATATATATTATATCCCATAAAATATAGCACACCTTACGACTATATTGCTTCATATATATATAATTATATATATATATATATATATATATATATATATATATATATATATATATATATGAAATCTGATCAATATTATCGTGACAGGTAATATAAAAAGAAAACTACAACACATCAATTCGTCGTTAATCTTCTTCTAACGCCACACATTTTGTTCCTTGACATTTACATTGATGGAAGCATTTCTGGAACACCTGTTTTGAGATGGTGAGCAGCTTCTTCGTCGCATTCACATGAGTTTCCGCGACGTCTTGAAATTATATTTCTTTTAAGTGAGATTTGATTTTTGGAACGAGAAAAAAGTTGCAAAGGGTTAGATCTGGGACGTATGGTGCTTTTCGAACCTGGAAAATGCTTTTCTTGGCTACAAACTCGCTAAATGGGCAAGTACGTTTCCATGGTTGAGTAGCCAGTCACCGAACACATGCAATTCTGTCATTTTCCAAAGAATACAATCGCGCAAAGACTCCAACATTTCACTCCTCTGACCAGGAGGAACATACTCTTGATGAAAAATGAAAACCCTCAACAGTATCTTCACATTGATTTAACTCAGTCGTGCTTACTTCTCTCTCCAAAGGTTTGAGGTCATCCACTGCAAAGACTGAGCAATATTTTCAGAGTCATAACCACTCGGTACCTGTTGAAACAGGTTTAAATTTTTTATGTACACTTCCCTTTACAAGCGTTCTGCGTTATCATAGCAACACACCCGATACATTTTGATGAGACCTTATATATATATATATATATATATATATATATATATATATATATATATATATATACATTTCTGAATGCGGTATTATGTACACTATTTACATTGTTCGGACTATCATAATTGTTGCTAAATTTATCACAAAAATTCCGGATTCTTCACATGGTTGTAATGTCGAAGTGAACCCTTTCTTTCGTACGCTCTATGGGGTAGACTGTTCTAGTTCCATGTTTAGTGGATGTTAGTTATCAGTTATCTCCTGTTTATTCCACTCTCCAAGTTCTCCACCGCCTTAAGCCGGTATTCAATTCACACTCTTTGGGTCCTGTCACTGAATCTAACTAACGCCTTTACGTGTGCCATGTGTCCTTGACGTCATCTATATAGGAATTTCTGGGTATTATAAACATGTCTTCAACAACCATATTTTAGGAATAATTTTTGTAACGGTTAATTTACCGGGAGCGGTTTGTTTGTTTGATTATTTATTTGGATTAATTTAGATTAATTTATTTTACTTGTTTATTATTATTCATTTAATATATTCTATATTTTCATTTACTCTACTGTATATTTTTATTTACTCATTTCAGTTTTCGATAACCTAGTATTTTTAACGTTATATAACAGTTACAGCTATGTTTTCGTCCGATTTTTGGTTTGATTTTTACAGTCTAATATTTTGCCTATATTGGATTGTTTATTTGTTTATTATTCACTTTGTTTATTTGGGTTCATTGATTATGTCTTTTATTTTTTTATTTATTTATTCTATTTCGTCTATTCTAATGGGTTTGATTTGGTAATTTGTTTGGGTTAATTTATTTTACTTATTTTATTGTTATTTTATTTATTTATTTGTTTATTTATATTATTTTTTATTTTATTTTTTCTCAGTTTTCTATTTTTAAGTAACGTAGTAAAAATTTAATGTCTGCATTTTGAGATGAGCTCGGATCGTTTATTTAATAATTTATTTTGCTCTGGGAAGGTAATGAGAACTATTTTTTTTCCTCCAAGGAAAGTGTGCAAGTTTTGGATTGGTTGTTGTAGGCTGATGATCTATTCCTTATTTTCCAAGATATTTTAGCTGTGATGTGCGTTTTGTTTTTAATTTCCCAGATATACTTAGGAAGCATTGTGCTGTTCGCGTATTTACTATTTGTGAAAGATGTTTTGTGTGCATAATTTCTTTGTTTCCAGGGTCGTTCATTTACTCCTATATACAATTTTCTTCATTATCTGGAGATTTTATCGTGGCTTTGTATATTAAGTTGTTTTTTAAGCAATTACCGTTTATGGAACATTCGTTCTTTATTCTGCAGTTACACGTGGGTTTAATGTGGTCGTGTGCTTTGTTGGTAATTTTCCCCTTTTGTTCTTTTTTATTATTTGTGCCAATTTCTCAGTGCAAATGTAGCTGATTTTTACTTTTTTAAAAATTATCTTCCCAAACGGAAACAAAACTATTGAATAAGCGATATAAACAAATATTTACTACGTTAATAAAACACCAATTAAAATAAATATATAAGATAAGAAATAAAAATAAAAAAATAAAAATAAATCAAAACAAGAAAAATAAATTAACCCAAATGAATAAATAAATAAACAAATAAACGACTTTTGACAACATAACCGCCAAAATAGACTACGCAGAATGCACCACTGAACCGTATATACAAATAGCCGAGAAAAAATAGCACTCGTGGCCTGACGATTGCATCTAGCATGAAACAGCCTGTCACCTCTAAGTGTTAAGCACTTTATCCCATAAATATAGCACACCTTAAAACTATATTTCTTCATATATATATATATATATATATATATATAGTTTATGCACTTAAATGCACAAAATGTAAGAAGTCATATATAGGCATCAGCCAACAACTGAACAACAGGGTCTCCCTACACAAAAGCAATATAAAATTGACAGACAACAGAAAACTTTTTGTATCACAACACATTTTCAAATGTAACCAGGGTAAGTTTAATATCATGCCGATATATCAAACAGACAATTACTCGTATCTACAAATACAGGAAAAAACTTTATAGACAAATTCAAACCCGAACTGAATAGATCGTAACCCCCCCAAAAAAAAAAATGCACACAGGGTGACCAAATACAATGATCGCTCACATACATGGACGCACACTCATATACAGGAGACACGAGGAGATATATATATGTGTATGTACACATACATACATTTATGTATGTATATGCGGATGTTGACAACTTAAGAAGTACGTGTGTGTGTGTGTGTGTGTGTGTGTGTGTGTGTGTGTGTGTGTGTGTGTGTATGTGTGTACTGGTTCCATGTAGCTTGGGAAATATGTGTGTATATGTGTGTGTGTACTGACTACTTGTGGTGGGATAGTGTGTGTGTGCGTATGTGTGTGTACAAATAAGTACAAATAAGTTTACGAATTCCTCGTAGTAAGGAAATATACGCACGCATATATACACGCATGCTGACAGGAACACACCAAAATAGAAACAGATCCAAGAGCACATAGAGGTCACTAAAACATTAAAAGATTAAATGCCGATAACTACTCGCTGGACAAACCTTAATTGTTTTATGACCCTTCACGCAGAACTCTTCATTGACAATTCTAGAAAGAAAATTCGGATTGCCAACACACAAACAGAATGTCTCATATCGAGAATATTCCACATTGAACATGAAGAAAAAATGAATTATTTTAATAATATGTAAAAAATCTCCACTTTCACCTGAAGACGGTTGCGAGACCAGACCAGAAACACGTGTCGTGAAATTATGTAAAACAAAGTATAATATTTTTTCTCAATAAATCCACATTACAACCAAAAACGTTTGCGGCACCCCTCTTCTTTTTAATATATATATATATATATATATATATATATTACCATAACGAAGCCGTTCTGTAAGCGGCTATCATCAGCCCCTAAAATACATATACTCTGTTATAATAAATACATCGAGGTCTTTGTGAATCAGTTTTAATAACTAATATTACTAGAATCCACCCAGATTATATACCAACGGATCGATTACCTGTATATATATATATATATATATATATATATATATATATATATATATGTAGAGAGAGTGAGTGAGACAGACAGACAGATATTGAAAGATAGATAGATATACAGATACAGTTTTATTGTCATGCTGATTATTATCGTCCTCCTTTCTGAGAACAATAATCAATATTTAAATAAAGATAACATATCAACTAGATATTCAGAGACAGACATACATCAACAAAATATCTATCTATCTATCTATCTATCTATCTATCTATCTATCTATCTGTTTGCCTCCCTAAATGTGTCACTGTAGTCTCCTTGAAATCTGTGTCCCAGAAGTGTTAGAATTATTTTTAGCTCTTTTGTTTTCATATCAAATTAAACGAAAATAAAAAAAGGTGTTCTTTAATTTCTACTGTAAAACAAAGAAAATTATTATGATAAGAAAAGAAATAAAATGATTCGCTTGTTAATTACTTCGCAACATGTCCATTCTACTGACGTGTCTATGTGTGTGAAAAAATAGATTAGAAGCGAAAAGTAAAGAAAAGAAAAAAATGCGAGAAAGCAACTTAGATGAAGAAATGGCAAATTTGGAGAGAACGATGGCAGAATCATGATGGAAAAAATAATACCCAGGATAAAATGAAGGCATTAAAGTTTCTTTATTTTGTTTCTCTCGGAAATCCGTCTTATGTAGCCTTGTGTCTGACTAAGTATGCTGAGTATATAAGCAGAATGAAGCAAAACAGAAAAAAAAGATAAGATTGCTGGGCATCACCTCGTAAAAAAAAAAAAAAAATATTCCTATACGAAAAAAAATACGATATTTTTTTTTACTTCTTCAAAATCCGTGCATATTTTCTCGTCCATTTCACTTTTCCCGAGGATCACTTGATGTTGATAAGGTAAATGACAGTTGCCTTAAGGCGACCTCATGTGAAGTGTAAGAAATTCGATCCAGATTTCATGTCTATTCGGCACTTTAGAAGGATTGGTTGTGTACTTAGAAAACGAAGAGGGAAATCCGTTTGAATACGTGACCACAGTTTGGAAACTTCAAATGTAGATAATGAAAAAAAAAGTAACTAAAAATATACAACTTGCTGAAGACAATTCGAATCCTGGGTAAAGCCTCTTGAGATTGACTTACAGTTGGCTGTTGAAGACAAAAGATATAACGCCCAAAAATCAGGAGAGTTTTATGCCGGATAGATAGTAGCCGGATAGATAGTAGATATGCCGTAAACATCGTTTTGTGATGCACAAACACACACACACATACATACAAACACACACACACACACACACACACATATATATATATATATATATATATATATATAAAGAGAGAGAGACACAATAGCATTAGTAGAGACATGCTGACTAACAACTTGATAAATAAAAAGTCATGCGAGAAAATGCAAATGATACACCAATGGATAAAATAGGTAAATACAAATTTGTAAAGTTATGCCTGTTCAATAAAAATAGGTGTGAGTGTGTGTGTGTGTGCGTGTGTTTGTGTGTGTGTGTAACAAGTCAAGTAAAACGAAATGTAGTTAAGTGAAAAAACAATATAAACAAAGACAAAAGAAAAACCTATTTTAGCCGATGTGTTTCGTCCTCTGGTAGATAAGGCAATCATCAAAGATCGAAACGAGTCAAATAATGTTTCCTTTAATTTTTATTCATATATATATATATATATATATATATATGCATGTTTCATTAAAAACGACAGACAAGGTACTACAGTTGAGCTTTTTATTTGCATTTGAACTCATAGATAATGTTCGCTCTTTGTAATTTTGACTTCGTTGGTGTGTTGTTATTTTCATGTTTATCCAGACGTCTTACATTACACCTATCTGATCACAGTTCCATCAGAACACATTTAAACACACACTCAGATTTACCCGACACTATTAGGAACATACTAGTAGAAAACACTAATATATTAACTGCATCCACTTGCAAAAAAAGACTAAAAATAATGGAAGCTCTAATAATAAAAAAGAAAAAGCCAACTCTTAACAATATCAATTATGAACAAAGCCACAATGTGCTAACCGTATTCGGAAACTAAAACATCACTACCACACACTGAACATACATAGAACACACACTCTACTAAGCTGATAATGAACCATCCTTGATAATGGCTAAAGGTATAGCCGAAAGCGCTCAAACACAGAACATTCGGACAGTTCTTACACACTCTTTGTCCAGAAAAGAAAGCTCTTGTCAGAACACAAGAAAAATTAAATAAAAAGCTCAACTGTAGTACCTTGTCTGTCGTTTTTAATGAAACATGCATAAAAGGAAGGATTGCTGCCTAATTATACAAATATCAAATTACACGACCCGGCAGCCAACAAGGAAAATAACACCACTACATTCAGGAAAAACCTCGTCTTACGACAAATAAAATTAGCTCAAAATGAAATCCAACATTTAAACAAAGAAATACACAAACATAACACTACACTAAAAAACACTTTGACCGAACCTGAATATAATGAAGCACTGTACCGCCCCAATCTTAGCATCAACCAGCACCAACTCACACACAGAGAAATAATTACAAAAAAACTTTGTAAATTATATCAAGGAAATATTTTACTACCCAACAGTGAAGACAAATATTTAAATTTATCCAACCATAAGTTAACAGATGACCAAAAAGAATTTCTAAATTTAGGTCCAAACTGCCACATCCAACCTAAGTTTGACCTTATCACCAAGACAACCGAAATTGAAATTCTATACCAATCACTATCCCAATTTTCCACGCGTGGTGACATAGCAGTACACCCTGACCTGAAAGACTTACTCAAAGCTGAGGGTTTGAAGAACCGATCCCCGGCACTAACCATAGTAGTATTTTAACACCAAAACTAAAAAACGCTGCGAAAGATTTAAAAAACAACGCTGACATTGTCATCAGACGCGCTGATAAATCTAACACATATGTTATAGTCAACAAAGCTGATTACCAGCAAAAATTAAAAGATATCGTCGATGACCGATCTAAATTCACCAAATTGAAACGAAATCCCACTGAGAATTTAAAAAGGTCTGTTAACAAGCTAATAACAGCTCACAACGCGGAAGTCGATTCCCTGAAAATTCAAAAAATAGTTGGAGATTACCAACCGGGATACCTATATGGAAACATAAAAAACACAAAACCAGGATACCCGCACGACCAATTATTTCCCAGATACCAACACCTATCTACGAGCTATCAAAATTCCTTAACGATATCATCACTCCATACCTACCTACCAATTACAGCATCACCTCCACGCACGAATTCCTACAAATTTTAAAAACTACAAATGGAACAAATCAAGGTATAATAGCGTCACTGGACGTTGAAAACTTATTCACAAACGTCCCTGTTGACAAAACTATCGATATTATCCTCAACTCTATATACAATAATAATTCCATCCCTCCGCCATCCATCAAACCACCTATCCTAAAAAAATTACTACACGCATGCACAACCAAAGTCCCCATCTATGACCATAATGGCAATATTTATACCCAAACTAATGGTGTTAGTATGGGAAATCCATTGGGTCCATGCTTCTCTAACTATTATATGTCCTACGTAGAAAATACGATATTTACACAGGTCCACAAACCGAAAATCTATGTTCAAGCATGTAGATGATATATTCATTTTAGCTGATAACATTAAAGAAATAGAGACACTTAAGACCACATTTGAGAAAAACTCCGTCCTTAATTTTACATATGAACTTAGCCAAAAAAACAAACTACCATTCTTAGATATCCTCGTTGAACATAACAATAACACTTTCATTACATCATTATACAAAAAACCCACCAGCAAAAAAACTCAAAGCCACCTTAATTTCAAAAGCGAATGTCCACTTAGGTACAAAATAGCTGTAATAAAAAACTTTTTCTAAATAGAGCCCACCAGAACTCATCCTCTCGACTACTCTTTCTCAAAGAACTTAACAACGTTAAACAAACACTAATTAACAACGGTTTCCCCTAACTACCTTATAGACCAACAAATTAGAATATTTCCTCTCCAAAGCAAGTAATAATGATAGCGAACACACAACTAAAAATCACATACACATTTATTACAAAAACCAAATGCATATTAATTACAAGCAAGATGAATCTGCTCTAAGACATATTATAAAGAAATATACTACTCCTATTGACCCGGATAAAAAAATCAAACTTATTATCTATTATAAAAAATTTAAGACGGCCAACCTTATCCTCAAAAATAACAACACACCAACGAAGTCAAAATTACAAAGAGCGAACATTATCTATGAGTTCAAATGCCCTTTAAGGAACTGCGTTCCTCACCAAACCGGACTCATAAATAATTACATCGGCTACACAACCACATGTTTATCCAGACGTCTTACATTACACCTATCTGATCACAGTTCCATCAGAACACATTTAAACACACACTCAGATTTACCCGACACTATTAGGAACATACTAGTAGAAAACACTAATATATTAACTGCATCCACTGCAAAATTTGCGCTTCCTTCCTTTAGTAAGTATCAGCTATCCTATTTTCAGAAAAAAATAGTTGTTTACAAATTTAAATGCCGATGTGATGCGGCGTACATAGAACGAACCAGTCTGACTTTGGAGACGCAGATTTCGCAACATGTTCCCGCCTATATATATATATATATATATATATATATATATATATATATATATATATATATATATATATATATATATGTGTGTATTTGTTTGTGTGTGTATGTGTGTTTGTGTGTGTGTGTGTGTGTGTGTGTGTTCAGCTTCCCGCGATCTTCAAACCATGGTTTGAACAAAAACTAAATAAATAAACAAATGACAATTTAATAAATTAATTTTGAAATTTATTTTCATCTGGAGACATCTTTTCTCCAACGGAGGGGTGATGATTGTAGCTCTGTAATTTTCATGCTGAGACTATGTTTTGCGACATATAAGTGATGATATATTTGAATATGCAACATAAAACTGTCATAATGTACCCGAGTATAATCACTCAAATTACCCAGCTCTAATTTTAGCATCTTAGCGTGATATTCCATCAGTCACCACTCTCGCTCGTTTTGGGTCTTTAAGGAGATAATATTGAACTAGGTCTTGTATAACTTGAACATTGTTCAACCTGTCCTGTTGCCATTCCTGCAACAGAAAGTTGAAGAACCACACATTAAGAATAATGTCTCTCTTAGGATGGTATTCGTTACATTTCATATCGTATATAGTGAGGAATACAAC